GGTGTCCTGTATGTACTTATGTTTGTGTATAGAGACTGTGTATATAGCATATAGTGTATGTGGGTTTTATGTGTCTTGGAGACTCTCCTAGATAGGCAAAGGGTGGGGCTGCCTAGGGATTCTGGGGAACACTGTCTCCACTCTAGTTTAGAGGAATTCTCCTTACTGCTTAGTCTGTGGAATGCCCCTTTACCCTGAGAATGGGGCACCAGTCTGTATGAAAGTGGGGCTTACAGAAAACAGTACCTCATAGAGGGGTGACTAGACAGTGCTGGGCTCTGCTGGATAGTCTGGGTATGTGAAAGGTAGTGGGGGTCCTTGACCTGAGGGAGGAGATTGCAGTGGGTAGGAAGGACAATGGGGGAACTGAGGCAGAGCACCTGGCTCTCAGATGACTGATCATGTGTTCTCTTCCAGTCCAGGGACAGGAAGATGGTGGGCGATATGACTGGGGCCCAGACCTATGCTACAACTGCTAAGGGACTGGACATCAGTGCTGTGGTCGTCTCCATCATCACACTGATCTTAATTATCTTCGTAAGCAGCCAAAGAAGTCAGAGGACGGGTACTAAGAGTGGGATTCCACGAAGTACGTGCTCTTCGAATTCAGAGTCAAAGGACTGAATTCTCTCACACACTGTTTTCTTGGGGAAAGTATGCATGTGCCCCGCCCTTCCCAGTTGTCCCTTATCCTGGCTAGTGGCCCTGACCTGTCACTCTGCTCCTCACACATCTGTTCACAGTGGAGTCAATAACGTGCATATGGTGGCAATTGTACATTGACTCTCCTTTCCCTGACTGGTCCTGTGCTGAACTTACTCAGGGTTTCTCTGGCTTCCTTCCTAAGAGGAGCTGTGGCGGGTATAGTGCAGGCCATTCACAGCTAGGAAGGCTTCTGGCCTCTTGTCGGAGACAGCAGCTGACGAGCGTCCTGCATAGGGTCCTCTTTTACTTAGCAGGCACTGGCAGGCAGTATCTAAGCATTGCCTACCTCTGGCTCGACGTACCCAGAGCACCCAGGAAGGGTGCAGAGTCACAAGCTAGGAAGTCCTTAGTCCAGGGACAAAGAAAGGGCCAGCCTAGGGTCCTCCCCTTTCAGGAGGAAGAAGCCTCGACCCAGGCAAACTGTGTCTAGGATTTCTGTGGTGGCTTCCGGCTTGGATTCTGGGCAGACTGTTTATGACACCCGCTGGGTGCTGCAATATACTAACCAAGATGACCCTTACCTTCTCACTCATGTCTCACAGGTTTACTTCAGGTCAAGGGTGGGCAGCGGGAGGTGAACAAGGGTCTTTGCTGCCAGGCGCCACCTGCTGGCGGAGCTCATTATCACTCTGTGGGTCCTGAGGTGTCGAGGGCGGATCTCCATGGGCTTTGGCACCCTTCACTAATAATCTGTACTCCAAATTCACCTCTCCTCTTCCTGGATGCCCTTGGCGCCTGTGTTTCCACCTCATTTTAGGCGCCCCAAGATTACAAGTCTTTGAAGCCCCGGAATGGCACTTTCTCCCTGTGTTGGTACTTGGGTTCTTGTTCTGGGTTCTGATCATCTTGTGAGACTAACCTAGCTTAGAGATGCCCTCTTCACCAAGGTCCAGGGTTCTGGAGCAGAATCACTCCCTTCACTGTCTTGGGAGCTGAGCCTGTCTTAAGAAGACAGGGATCAGCCGGGCAGTGGTGGCACACGCCTTTAATCCCAGCACTTGGGAGGCAGGCGGATCTCTGTGAGTTCGAGGCCAGCCTGGTCTCCAAAGCGAATTCCAGGAAAGGCACAAAGCTACACAGAGAAACCTTGCCTTGAAAAAGAAAGATAGGGATCACAATAGCAGTGAAGACAGAGGATCCCCTGGGAGAGCTGCTGTCACACTGGAGGGAAGTGACTCAGCCAGACTAAGTCCTAGGGAGAAAGCAAGGCCTTTTCAGTTTGCACCAGCCAAGGAGCAAGGGTTTTTGAGAGCCGGGCAGTGGTGACACATGCCTTTAATCCTAGCTCTAGGGAGGCAGAGGCAGGCAGATCTCTGGGAGTTTGAGTCCAGCCTGGTCTATAGAGCAAGATCCAGGACAGGCACCAAAACCACACGGAGAAACCCTGTCTCAAAAAAAATTTTCCTTTTGAGAAGGATCCAGTGTGATATCTCCACTAAAATTCATGGCCCTGGACCTTCAGAGCGCTCAACCTCAGACCCAGGTCATGACTGAATGAAGGTGGAGACTTCAGGACAAGGAACGCAGTCCCTATGGCCACACTTCAGACCTTCCTAACGTTCCATATGAACAATGCTTGGGCAACTCTCCTGAGGGCGTGGAAACCTCAGACATGTTAGGCACTGTTGGGCACAGAGCCAGGCCATGCTCTCCAGACTAAACACCATCCTAACTACTTGTCTGAAGTGGGACATGCAGGGCTAGATATGGCTAATGTTTACTACAACCCATGAGTGAACCCACACTGGGGCTGCCATATGGCCATGGAGAGTCCCCATGCTCACTTCCTACTCACCAAAGGTGTAACTGGAGCAGAAGCAATGGAATTGTGACAACTTCCCATTGTGTTGGTGGCCTGCAGGGCAGGGGAGAGCGGTCAGCTGAGTGGAAAGACTCCAAGTTGCTCCCTACCCAAAGCTGAGAGGAAACAGAGCCAAGTCTCATCCTGAGAAGGCCGCAGCGAAACCCCTGCCCCCCAGCCTATGCTGAGGAGTGCTGCTCCCACCCATTTTCCTCGCCTGTTTGGCAGCTACAGGACAGAGGGTCTCTGGCAGGAGACGACAGGTTTCTGCAGACCTACCAATGGGAGTCCAGTTGGAGATCAGTGCCGCATAGAGGATGCTGTGGGTCTGAAAAGTGCAGGGACTCCAGACCAGAGAACATGGCCTCTCAAGTCCATCTCTACTGAAGGAACTGGCCAGACCTGCCCCCGGTGAGAAGAGTCAGGACAGAACCGGACAAATAAAGTGCCAACAATTGTGCTGATATCACGTCAGAAATGGATCATCTTGGATGGAGCAAAAGGCTGGCCCTGACCCTTAGTCTTCCAGCAATGCTTGTCCATCCCTGTCTCTCTGATGACCCCTGGGGCAGCAGAGATTGCCTATAAGAATGAATGAAGAAGATAGAAAAATCCAAAGATAGTTTCTCCAGGGATGTGCCACATGGGAAGGAGCAAGACAGACATGAAGAGGTCTCTATCAGCCCACTTGGGGGTTGGGGCACATGAAGACACTGAACATACATGCAGGGCTAGGTATAGCTCCCCACCTCTGTGGGTAGGGAGATGAGTCTGGAGTATGAGTACATGTGAAGGCCTGGATATGGCAAAGCCCTCACAGGTCACCAAAGCCACCAGGAGAGAGGAACTAGGGTCCCAGTGACTGAGGATGGCAGAGAAGTGGCCACCAAGTTTGAGATGACCATTGACTTTCAGTATAGTTTCTGTTCTTTCTAGGTAAACATCCGGAAGCAAATGTGTTTGACTTCAGGAATATCGTGAGACCATAGTAAACAGAGGTATGGTTGAAATTAAATATTGTTGACTGTAATAAAAAAGTTATACCAAAATCCAACATTCCTGAAACCAGATTGTGTGGCGAGCACAGTACCACACTTACTGTCATTTACAAACTGAGGGGTTACTCATATTATTTCATCTCCCACGTGGCTGAAAGGCAACAGGAGGGTAAACTGCAGGCCATCGATCAAACTTGCCTCTCAGGGACGTATGAGGAACAGTGTGACATAGGCCTTGTTGGAGATTGAAAAAGGAAAAAGAAAAAAAGAGAAAAAAGAAAAGGGGAGAAAGAAAGAAAAAATAAAATAAAGAAAAAAATAAAAGAAAGAAAAAGCATATCAGAACCCAGTGGAAACCAGCACTCGGGCTCCAGTCAGAGTCCCTGTCCCCAGACCAATGCCCTGCTCTGCACATGGTGCCCTGAGCCTGTGGCCTGCAGGAGCCTCTGTGAGGGAACAGCTGAGTACATGGGAATCACACTACCTATTCTAACAGGCAGGACTCTGTCAGGGAGGCTGATGAAGCCACCCCCG